GTCAACAACCTCGTCGCGGAGAGCGAGAGCAAGTTGCTGGGCCTGGACAGACTGGTGGACATCGTCACGGGGGAAGGACCATCGGAGGCAAGTGATGGGTCCAGTAAGCATACCCTTCATGGGCTTCTTGGAGATGGAGGCGGCGTACTTGGACTCCTTGACGGTCATGGGAGCAGGGCGCGAGATGTCACCGACGATGATCGGGGGACGGACGCAGCGGGATCCGTAGGACTGGACCCAACCCTTGGTGGTGAAGGCATAACCGTCAAGGCGCTCACCGAAGTACTGCACCATGTCGTTACGCTCGGGCTCACCGTGGACGTAGACGTCAAGGCCAAGCTCGTCCTGGATCTTGACGACCTCCTCAATCTCCTTCTCGATGAACTTCTCGTACTCCTCGGGTGTGATCTCACCCTTGGTGAATTTGTTACGCGAGATACGGATCTCCTTGGTCTGGGGGAAAGATCCGATGGTGGTGGTGGGGAACATGGGGAGGTTGAGGTGCTTCTTCTGCTGAGCGTAACGCTCAGGGAAGCCAGACTTGCGCTCGTGCTGCTCAGGGGTGACGCTGGCCTGGCGGTCCTTGACAGCCTTGTTGTTGGTGCGCTCAGATGAGGCACGAGCCTGCATCGACTTGGCGTTGGCCTCAAGAGCCTCACGGACGGATGCTGGGCCGTCGTTGACAGCCTTGGCGATGACAACGACCTCGGAGACCTTCTGGCAAGCGAAGGAGAACCAGTCCTTGACCTCCTCGGGCAGCTTCTTCTCGCTGTCGAGAGAGTGGGGAGTGTGGAGGAGGGAGCTGGAGGTGGCAACGAGGACACGGTCCTTGCCGAGCTTCTGGACAGCAGTCTCAACAATCTCGATGGCGTTCTTGAAGTTGGTCTTCCAGATGTTGCGGCCGTCGACGACACCGACGGACAGAACCTGGTTGGAGCCAAGCTTGCCGATGACGCTCTCGAGCTGCTCAGGGTTCCTGACAAGGTCGATGTGGATACCAGCAACACTCTGGAGGCTGGGGAAGACCTCGAAGTTGTGGACGATGTCACCGAAGTAGGTGGCGAGGACAAGCTTGGGCAGACCGCTGCCGACGAGCTTCTCGTATGCGGGCTTGAAGGCATCCTTGACCTTCTGGGGGAGGTCGTAGACGAGGACAGGCTCGTCAATCTGGACGTACTCGGCACCAGCCTCCTTCAGCTTCTGGAGGAGCTCGACATATACCGGCAGCAGCTTCTCGAGAAGGGTGATAGGGTCGACAGACTGGCCACGGTCGGCCTTGCCGAGAGCGAGGAAGGAGACAGGTCCGATGAGGACGGGGCGGGTGGTGATGCCAGCCTCCTTGGCCTCGAGGAACTCAGCGACGGGCTTGGGGTTCTCGGCGAGGGTGAAGGTCTGGTTGTCTTGAAGGGTGGGCTTGACGTAGTGGTAGTTTGAGTCGAACCACTTGACCATCTCCTGTAGTGGGGTTAGATGGTGTTGATAACTCCCGAACTTTCGGGACTTACCAGCGAGGGGACGTCGACACCGTCCTTCTGGTGGCCACGGCCCATGGCGAAGTACTCATCGAGCTTGTGCAGCGAGTGCTTGGAGTAGCGCTCTGGGATAGCCTATTCCTGTTAGTCGACTGCAGCGGGTATTGGATGGCGTGTGCTTACGTTGAAGAGCTGGATGTGGTCGAGGAGGTGGTCGTAGAAGGCGAAGTCGTTGCTGGGAATGACATCGACGCCGGCGTCCTTCTGGATCTTCCAGTGCTCCAACCGCAGACGCTTGCCCTCCTTGATCAGGTCGTCGCGCGAGAGCTTGTCCGCCCAGTAGGCCTCGTTGGCCTTCTTGAGCTCACGGTCCGCACCCATGCGGGGGAAACCGAGTACTGAAGAGTGTACCATTGTGATGTGATTGTCCGATGCGGACAACTGTGATAATTGGGGGGATGGGTAGGATGTGGTAGAGAGGAGGGGGAAGAGGGTGAGGGAGGAAGGTGGGATGTAGGAGGAAGAGTGGTAGCGGATGGTGTGCTTTATGTTTTTTGCTGGCGTATGCAGCAACGTCGCGGGGTTGGCGCCTGCGTGGCTCCGATTCGACGGTGCACTCACCGCCCTCAACTTTATTCTGCAACGGCGAGAACAATCCGCCGTTCGTCAGGGCTTCCCTCAATCTACGCAGTGTGGAGCGATTATCTTGGACTATCCTGCTACTCTAGCGCTCCCATGCCCACAGCTATCGCGCACTAGCTCTGCTAATGCTAACTTTTCCCCAAACCGACATCGGCGGAGGGGCGCTCGGAGCCTTGGCGGTGACGAGCTTGCGCAACATCAAGCGTGTCCGGTGAGAACTCGGATGTTTCCACAGCACAGGGACGAGGCACCCTGTAAAGATTCACGCAGGAACGATCCCTTCTCGACTGGGTGTTGGGTATTGGCCATGGCTAACACGTCGTCCATGACAGCATGAATCAGCTCCGCGCCAGCTCTTAGCGGGTTCTGCATCTCAACAGGCATCTTCTGGGTTAGCTCAGACCCTGAAGATCATCGACATCGGGACAATGCCATCAACTCGTCTCGAGCAGAACACCAAGGCGGCATGCGAGTCAGGTGCCATCGGTGGTTTGTACTGCAGCTCTTCTCACGATGGTCGGTAAATGTCCGAGCGAAGGGTTCACGACGAGGCGGCGGAACCACCGAGTACTTGCCTTATTTAGCTGTCTCCACAACCCCGCATCGTGTATAAAACCCCGCCATCAACAAGCCAAGTAGACGATAACAAGCGCAATAACCCCCCGAGCCAGTGAAACACAGACGGATAATATTCACACGCATATCAAAATGGCTTCAAGACCAACCCACACCCGAACTGCCTCGACAAACCTGGCAGGTGGTTCAGGCCAGCGCGTGCTGGAGGGACGAAATGCCATCATAACCGGAGCATCTCGAGGTAAGTAAACAGCACCCAAGCACCACCTCCATTCTGAGATATCTTCCTGGCCACTCCATCCCAATAATTTCATGCTAACACCCCCAGGCATCGGCGTAGAAATCGCCCGCAACCTCGCCAGCAAAGGCTGCAACGTCGTCATAAACTACACCTCCGACTCCTCCTCCGAAACCGCCTCCTCCCTCGCCTCCGAACTCTCCGCCGAATACGGTATAAAAGCCATCAGCGTCCAAGCGAGCATGGGCTCTGAAAACGGCCCCGCCCACCTCGTCGAAGTAACCAAGAACAACTTCCAGCACCCCAAGACGGGCAAGTTCCAACTCGACATCATCATCAACAACGCGGGCGTCGCTGGAAACAACTACGTCGAGAATGTGGATTGCGAGGACTTTGCTAGGCAGTTCAATATCAATGTAAGGGGGCCGCTGCTGCTGGTGAAGGCTGCGACACAGTATCTGCCGAATGATCGATCTGGACGTATTGTCAACCTCAGCTCTGTGAGTTCGAGCCTGGGGTACAAAGGCCAGTCTATCTATGGTGGTACAAAGGCAGCGCTGGAGAGCATGACAAGGACGTGGTCAAGGGAGTTGGCAGAGCGCTGCACGGTTAATGCGATTAACCCTGGTCCTGTTGCTACGGACATGTACTGGAGTAACGACGACGCGTTTATTGCGCAGAACAAGCCGTTTATTGAGAACACGCCTCTTGCGGCGCCAAGGAAGGGGATTGATCCGGAGAGGATCTATGAGGCGTCCCAGGGTGCTGGTGGACGGCCGGGGTATAGCGAGGAGATTGGGGGTGTGGTGGGGATGCTGTGTTTGCCTGAGGCGGGGTGGACTACGGGTAGTGTGATTTGCGCGAATGGTGGTATGAAGTTCAGCTTCTAGGCGTCGGCAGGGATAACGAGGACATGAATGGGAACAACAATAATATGCTATCGGCAAGGACAATTTCTTTGTGAGGTTCCTAATCTACCGCACACACGTAACACTGTGTCGTACCTCCCCATTCCCACCCTCCCAAACCTCACTCTCAATCACCACACTTGACGTCTTCCTAACCCCCCCACTTCCATCCTCCTCAACAACAATGCCTCGCTCGGAATCCCTATCACACATCCACCCCGCGCCCATCCTCTCCTCGCTTCCCACACTAACCCCGTCATCATCCACACATTCGTACCCATTCGTCTTTGCAATCCGCGAGCCAATGGTCTTGAGCTCGGATTCCTGCTGCGAGTCATCCGCATCATGTCCTCTTGCACTACGGCTTTGTTTGGTACCGCGACTTCGATTCCGACTACTGCGTAAAGTAGATTCGCCGATGAGGTGGGGGGCGACGTGACGGAAGAAGAGGCGCATGGTGGGGAGGCAGCCGGTGATTATGACGAGGTTGGCTTCGATGAGGCTGTTGGAAGGTTAGGCGATGTGTTCCATGGTAGTAGGTTGGGTGAATGGCGATATGGAGATTTTGGTTTGGGGTGTGGTGTGGTGTGGTATGGCGTGGAGTAGGATGGACTTACATCCAGATACCCGGCATAACGATCGCCCAGGTCTGATCGATAGTTTGGAGCATGGGGAAGAGGAGGGCGAGACGGACGCCGCTTGTGATACACGTTCTGTCGTGTTTGTTAGCTCATGCTTTTCGTCTTTACCGTATCCTTGCTCTGGTAGGTACTCACAGCGAGCCCACCCCAAAAATACATATCAACCCCATCTTCTGCGCCCTTGGCATCTGCAATCTAACCACCATCGGAATCGGCAAGACTAGCAGCAAAATATCTGTGGCCATATTCAACACCGCCGTCGCCATATAAAGCGGCGTTCTGTCAATGCAACTTCCTTCGGTGATGGTGACATCCCAGTTCCGTCGGAAAGGCGTACACGCGAAGATGAGCGGAAAGACAAGGGCAATGTTGTATCCGACGACGAGGAACATGCTTGCGTAGACACATAATTTGAACCAGCGGAGGTGTGATAGGCGGAGGTAGAAGAAGAGGAGGGAAAGTTTGGCGCTCGCGAGGAAGGGGCAGTATATTATACTTGCTACGCTGATCAACTGTTGAGTGGTCAGTTGGGGTTGGCTTGGTGTTTTGATGGATTGGTGGTGCTTACGTTCATGGTAGAGTTGACGCGGTGGCCAGTTAGTTCCCAGATGTGGACGCCGAGAGTGCCGCGGCCGTACTGGACTGCTAGGTGGTTAGATTTGGGATAGTGGTAGTGGGCCTTGGTAGACGCACATAGAATGGGAACTTGTATTGCGATGGAGAAGCACTGTAGGTTCGATCGTTAGCACAATCCGTTGAGCTATCTATTTTCTCCAAGCTGCAATGCGACGCACCCAGGCTATAAGCAGCGCTACTGTAGATGCTGTTAGAGATTGCACATGATATTTGTAACGTTTCCGATCTTGACCAGAGCGGATGAACTTACTATCATCTGATGTAAAGTTCTTCGCCAACCTCGCCTTCGTGTAGACGCGTATAGCCATGAAGATGGCGGCGATGATCATGCCCAGGGTGCCAATCCAGAAGTTAGCAGCCTCGCCCGTCCTCTGGGGATTATCGACGTCGACGATGTATCCAGGCGGAGCCGGAAAGATGGGCTCGTTCATGTCCATGATGCAAATTTGTGGAGAAAGTGTGCGTCCTTGCTGATCGGCGAAGCTGTTGTGTGTCTATACTTCAGTTCAAATTCTCGTCCCCATCGTCTGGGTCATCGCAATCCGTCATTTCTTGCTCTGGTCAACCGACATACTCAACATGTAACCATATTCCATGTCACATGAAATCCTGCTGTTGACTGTGATGGTCAGTGTTAGCGCACGAGCAATGTCACTGTACACGCCGCATCGCTTAGGCAGTGAGGCTCGCATATGCAGTAAGGGATTGGCCTGGAGTGCTGCACCGCCGACCAAGAACTTGGTCAGTATACCTGTGCCACTCCACTGCATCGGAGTGATGACTGTGCATGGCAAGAACGGCTCAGATGTCTTCTTGTCTGGCGGAAGCTTGGGGTGAGCATAAGCATGCCAAGGATGTGGCGTTCATGGAATTGGCCATCCCTTAGGCGTCGCATCCATCAGTATGGTTGACCGAGGTCCGCGAAGCGTCTGTTGATGGCCGTTAGAGCGACTGTACCTCGTTCCTAGCTCTCCGCGGTCCGCTCGCCAGGGTCGCGGATGATCCCCAAATTAACTGCTTATGCCGAGCCGTGTGTAAAGTGATCTCGAACCTATGGAGAAGCATACGTTCATAGACCCCTGTAAGCCACCTTTTAGCGAACAAATCGACGGCATTGCCGCTTCGCTGCCGACGGGTGTATGGCCTTCGCGGCACAGGCCGAACGCCACTTGAGTCCAGTCCTGGAAACAATTTTGGCATCCTTCGAGCATCCAGCTTCATCTCATATGTCGAGTCATTGATGAGCAGGAATTGCGCATCCTTGTTGAGGTTAATCCCTCAAACTGTTGAGAGATATGAGCGAGTAGAAAAGCGTGCCACAGCCTGCGTCAAGGTTTCGGTCATCGAGTGTTCCTTGTGTTATCTCTTCACCTATTGGACTGGTTACCATCATGACTCGCTTGTCCCTTACCTTACTTGCGGCAGCGGCTGTCGTCCCATTCGCACATGCTGACTATTGCGTGAGGCTGCTCCCTAGTTCTCTTCTATCCGAAACGTCTGCTAACATCTACAGTGCTCCGCTCTTGCACTCACCTCCCTAAAGAGTCGGCTGCTCTACCCTGGTCAAGACGCGTATGAGACGCGGGAAGATTCCTACTTCGATGTCAAGCAGCAGGTTATCACACCCAACTGCATCGTCCAGCCCAAGACCGCCAAAGAAGTCGCCCTTGCTGTCAAGACCCTCACAGCTGCTAGTCGATTGAAGTCATGCAAGTTTGCGATTCGTAGTGGTGGACACACTCCATACGTTGGAGCCTCTAATATCGAGAACGGCGTAACACTCGACTTGCACTATCTCAGCACCGTTGAGTATGATGCTAAGAAGGCTTTGGTCAAAGTCGGTCCTGCGGCAACGTGGAACGACGTGTACGATACCCTGGAGCCACTGAACGAGATGACAAGTGGTGGACGCTCGTCCACAGTTGGCGTCGGCGGTCTTACGCTCGGCGGTGGAATCTCGTACTTCTCGCCGGGGCGGGGCCTGGTCTGCGACAACGTCATCGAGTTCGAGGTTGTTCTCGCTGACGGTCGTATCGTGACCGCGTCCAAGACTTCGCATCCAGATCTCTTTGCTGTCCTCAAAGGCGGCAACAACAACTTCGGTATCGTTACTAGCTTCAAATTTGGCACCTTCGACTACGCCGGCATGTGGGGTGGGCTTGTCATCTACCCAGAGTCGACCATTCAAGACCATTTCAAGGCCCTGATCAACTTCTCCAACAACATTGACAAGGAGCCGAAGGGTTCGGCTATCGTCATGCCGGTGTACCAGAGCTCGGCGGGCGCCGATTTGATACTGAACGCGTACGACTATGCCGAGCCGGTATCGAGACCCGCGGCTTACGACGAGTTTTTGGCAATTCCTGGCAACATCTCGGACTCCACGGGTATCAGGAACATGTCGTCGCTGGCAGCCGAACTCGCGGGCGCTACTACACATAGGTAAGCTAGTCGGTACTCCTGTTGTGCAGATGTTGACCAAGGATGCAGCGTATACTTCGGCACGCTGACCTTCGCAAACGACCTTCGCGTAATGACCAAAGCCCATGAGATCTATATGGATGTGCTGTCCAACCTGAAGGCCAAGGCTACGGGTGACTGGCAGATCTATGTGCTCTACCAGCCCCTTCCGCCTTCGTACTGGAGACAGAGCGCGTCCAAGGGCGGCAACATGCTGGGCTTGGAGCGCTTTGGTGAGCAGGTGCTGTGTCGTGAGTTGCTCTAGGATTCCGTAATGACTGCATGCTAATCAGTGACAATAGTATACCAACCCTACATCTCCTGGCAAGGTGCTGAACAAGACGCGCTCTTTCAAGCCGCAGGCGCTGATCTCGTCAACGGTATCCGCGAGTATGCCGAGAGCATCGGTGCCGACAACCCATATCTCTACCTGAACTACGCGGACAACACGCAAGACCCCCTCGCAAGCTATGGATCCGCTTCCGTGAAGAAGATGAAGGCTGCAGCAAAAAAGTATGATCCTTCGGGTGTTTTCCAGAAGCTTGTGCCTGGTGGGTTCAAGATCTCGAATGTTCAGTAGATGATGGATGTGGTTTCATAGAACTAATCTATAGCATAACGTTTCGGTGTGATAGCAAGATGACCATATCGTTCTTGGGAATGCGACTTCCGTTGTGAGCGACATGCATACTCCATCCGGATGGCGTTCCGAGGTGTCAACGCCGCTCTGCAAAGCAAGAGAATGCCGCGAACCCTGTGATCCAGAAAACATGAAAAGGAGAGATTTGAACATGTTGAATGAGACTCGTTGTTGACGCGTTGGCATCATGAAGGCTGCGAGTGGAGGAAGGCAGCTCAGAGGGTGGCAGGCAGGGCCGGGTTTCGCTTGGCGGGCCCACTTAGGTCACGCTAGCCATATCTCTCAAGATAGAGGTACATAGTAAGTAAATTAATACAAAGTAAGTTATATTTCTTATACTTATATTATAAAGTTATTAAATAACTATTACTATACTTATTATTATAATAAGCTTATATATATATATTTTACTAATTATATTAATATAGGTAATTAAAATAAATATACCTTTATTAAGTATACTATATACTTTCTTTTTAATAAGTTTTATATTCTTTACTAAGAGTATTATACTCTTAGCTCTTATTAATATATTAGTTATATAAAATATAGTATTAATACTTTCTATACTTTCTAGTAATTATCTTAAGTAAAGTTCTAATATAAAAAAAGTTCTAGAAGTAGTATACTATATAGAATTTATAATAACTTATATAAGCTATAAATTAAGTAGTAAGATTTATATAACTTATACTAGAAATAAGTAATTAGTATTACTCTACTAAGCTATAGTAGTTATAATATAGTTAAGTATTTTAGAAAAGAACTTAAAGCTTTTTACTATAAGTACTACTATCTTTAAAAGATTTAACTATAAGCTTACTCTATTATTTAAAAGATATTATTATACTACTATTTATTAAAATAAGCTTAAAGTTTTAGATATTTTTTATAATACTTATAAAGATTAGTAAATATAGTAAATAAATACTATTAAATATTATACTAGGCTATAGCTATTAGTATTCTTTTATATAAGTTTCTATAATTTTATTCTACTTACTAGAATTTAGATAAAGTAGTAATACTAAACTTAGAAAAAGTATTTTTAAAGTATTACTAGAAGTCTTTATTCTTAATATAGAAAAAACTCTTAAGTTAGAAATTTTTAAAAAGTCTAGTACTAAAAAAGTTTAGTTAGCTAGAAAAGATATTAGTAAGCTAAAGAAGCTCTCTCTTAATACTTAAATACTACTTTAAGTTACTTACTATACTATTATTTTTATAAAAATTATAAGTTTTATAGTAACTATTTAGCACTAGCTAGTAATAGATACTAAATATACTAATATCTTTATTAGTAGAAAAGCGTAAATCTACTATAAGAATAGAGTTAATATAGCTATAAAATATTATATATTTTTATTTAATATCTATATTAAGTTTATATTAGAGCGTTTCTAAAGTAGTTCTCTATTTAATAAAAAGAGATAATATAAGTATATATCTATAGTTTTCTATTATAGTTATATCTATATTAGTAAATAAGTCTAGAAAGATATAATATATTTTATATATATATATCTTGTCTTTATTTTATAGTCTTCTAAAATTAACTACTAATCTCTAAACTTTACTATTAATAGTAATTTAATTAGAAAGCTATACTAAGTTCTAAAGAATATAGTATTAAGTATTTAGTTTAGTATAAATCTTGCGCGTAGAAGTACTAAATTCTAAACTACTATCTTTATTTCTATCTATAGCTATATCTATATCTATATCTATATTTATATCTATATCTATATTAATTTTCTAACTAGTAGTATTAGAATTAGAGACTTTATAGTTATAGAGACTAGAATTATTTCTAGAAGCTTTCTATTTCTAGTAGAGAGTAGTTCTTATTTTCTTATTCTACTACTAAATAAATTTAACTAGCTAAGTACCTTCTATAGTTATATTATTCTTATTACTATTAAGTTATAGCTTAAACTTATTAGAATAATTATTTCTAGATTAGTTACTTCTCTAACTACTTTTCTTATTAGTATATATAGTTATTTAGGCTATTATAGTAATCTATAACTATTAATATATTATTATAAAGTACTAATTTACTATATAAGCTATAAGTCTTTACTTTATAGTATCTACTAAGTAACTCTTCTATACTTTATACTTAATAATATAGTACTAGTTTATTAAAGTATTATATAAGATAAAGTCTCTAACTAAGAGTTTAAAGAGATTCTCTTTAATATAAAAGTAGAATATATACTACTAAAGATAACTTACTAACTAATAGATAGCTAACTTAGAAATTTAGCTACTAGCTAGAATTAAAAAAAGTAATAATAAGTTTAGATAAGTAATAGAAACTATATACTAATATAA